GGAAAAGCGGTGATGCTGATATTGATGATGATGCTGGTGGTGATGGTGATGGTGATGATGGTGACAGAGGTGTTGATGATGATGATATCGATGATGATGACGATGGTGATGATGATGATGATAAAGGAGATGTTGAGGTTGATGATTCTGGTGATGATGGTGAAGGTACTGAAGGTGATGCTGATGTTAATCTTGGTCATGATGACGATGATGATGATGATGATGGTGATGACAATGCTGATGCTGGTGATGATGATAGAAGTGGTGGCGATGAGGACATTGATGATAATGACGATGGCGATGATGATGCTGATGCTAATGATGATAAAGGAGATGATGCTGATGATAATGGTGATGATGATAACGATGATGATGCTGGTGATGGTGATGGTGATGCTGATGATGACGGTGATGCAGATGATGCTTATAAAGGTGATGATGATTATATTGATAACGCTGATGATGACAATGATGATGCTGATGGTAAAAGTGAGGATGATGATGGTGATGTTGATGATGGTATGGATGATGATGGTGACGAAGATGCTGATGACAATGATGATGATGAGAAAGGTAGTGATGATGATACTGATGATGATGACGATGATGACGATGATGCTGGGTGGTAGAAATCTAATGGTGATGACGATGATGCCGCTGGCGATGATGATGCAAGGACTGATGTTGATGATGCTTATTATGATGATGACGATGATGATACAAGGCGGTGATGGTGATATAGATGATGATAAGGGTGATGATGCTGACGCTGCCGATGCGAACGATTCTGAAAGTTATGATGATGATGTTGATAATGATGATGCTGATTATGATAGAAGAGGCAGTGACGATGATGCTAATGATAATGACAGTGGTGACGATGATGATGATGCTGATGCATATGATAATGCTGATGACGATGATGATGATGATGATGATGATGATGATGATGATGATGATGATAAGTGTGCGGATGATGAATTAAATTGTATTGATGATGATGACGGTGACCATGATGATGCTGATGCGGATGATGCTGATGGAGGTGATGATGATATTGATGATGATAACGATGATGACCATGCTGATGATGACGATGGTCAGAATAATGATGATACTGATGATGACGACGGTGCTGAAGATGAGGGTGATGCTGATGGATGATGGTTATGATGTTGACATTGATTTTGATACCGGCGATGGTGATGATTCCATGATGGTGATAAAGGTGATGCGCATGATGATGCTGATGCTGAAGGTGGTGGTGATGATCACGATGATTATGATGATGCAAATATTGATGATGATGACGGTGATGATGATGCTGATGATGGCGATGGTGATGATCAAAGTGATGATGACGATGATGATGATAAAGGTGATGATGATGATAATAGTGGTGATGACGATGATGATGATAAGGTGATGACGATGATGATAATGGTGATGATGACGCTGGTACTGATGATGATGATAAAGGTGTTGATGACGATATTGATGACGATGACGATGAAGATGAGGATGATGATGCTGATGCTAATGATCGTGATGATGATGCTGATGCTGATGCTAATGCTGATGCTGATGATGCTGATGCTGATCTTAATCATTCTGATGCGGATGAAGATGATAAAGGATGCTGGTGATGATGATGAAATCGATGATGCTGATGATGCTGATATTGCTGATGATGCTGATGGCGGTGTTGATAGTGATGATGCTGATCCTGACGCTGATGATGCCAAAGGTGATGATAGGTGACGATAATGATGAAGGTGATGATGATGTTGATGAAGGTTGTGATGATGATGGTATTGATAATGATGACGGTGATGCTGATTATGATGCTGGAGCTGACGATGCCGATGATAAAGACAGGGGTGATGATAATGATGACATTGGTGATGATGACGATGATGACGATGATGATGATGCTGCTGGTGATGATATTCGTCATGATGACGATGATGATGATGATGGTGGCAATGATGACTGGTGATGATGATGTTGACGATGATGCTGATGATGATAAATGTTGTGATGATGATGCTATTGATGATCATGACGATGGTGATGATGACGATGATGATGATGATGGTAATGATGATGATCATGATGATGATGATGATGATGCTTCCGGTGATGATGATGATGCTTCCGGTGATGATGATGATGACGATAATGCCGATGATGATAGAGGTGGTGATGATGATGCTATTGATGATGATGACGATGGTGATGATGATGATGCCGATGCTGAAGGTGATGGTGATGATAACGATGATGGTGATGCTGATAATAAATGTGATGATGATGGCATTGATGATGATGACTATGATGACGATGCTAATGCTGATGATGAAGATATCGATGGTGATGGCGAAGATGATGATGATGCTGATGGTGATGACGATGATAAAGGTGATGATTGTAATGATGATGATGATGGCGATGATGATGCTGATGCTGATGATGTTCAAGGTGACGGTGATAATATTGATGCTGATGATGATTATGGTGCTGATGCTGGTGCTGATGACAAGACTGATGATGATGATGACGATGATGCTGATGATGATAAAGGTGGTGGTGACGATGGTGCTGATGATCCTGATCACGGTGATGATGATGATGCTATGTATGATGATGACGATGGTGATGACGATTATGCTGATGCTGATGATGAACGTGATGATGATGGTATCGATGATGCTAATGATGATCGTGATGATAAAGGTGATTATGATGATGATGATGGAAATGATGATGATGTTTATGATGGTAAAGGCGATGAAGATGATGAGATGGCTGGTGATGACGCTGATGATGCTAGAGGTGGTGATGATGATATTGCTGATACTGACGATCATGATAATGATGGTGATGATGATGTTGATGCTGATGATGATGGTGATAAAGGTGATGATGGTCATAGTGATGACGATGACGATGGCGATGATGATGCTGATGCTGATGATGATCGAGGTGATGCAGATGATGATTTTGGTGATGATGACGATGATGATGATGATGCTGAGGACGATGCTGATGCTGATGATGATAAATGTGGTGATGATGATATTGATGATGGTGACGATGCGGATGCGGATACTGATGCTGATGATCATGATGATGGTTATGATAAAGGTGATGATGACGACGGTGATGCTGATGCTGATGAAGATGGCAGTGCAGATGATGATGGCGATTGTGATGATGAAAGTGATGCTGATTATGGTGCTAACGCTGATGCGAATGATGGTTATATAAAGGTGATGATGATATGTATTATGATGACGATGCTGTTGATTATGATGCTGATGACGATGATGCTGATGATAAACGTAAGGGTGATGATGATATTGATGATGACGACGACGATGATGATGCTGATGCTGATGGTGCTGATGATGGTAAATGTAATGATTATCCTGATGATGATATTGATGATGTTGACGGTGATGATGATGCTGATGCTCATGATGATGGTAAAGGTGATGATGAAGCTGATGCTGATGATGGCGATGATGATGATGCTGATGATGCTGATGATGATGATGATGATGATGATGATGCTGATGATCACTCTGATGATGTTAAATGTGGTGATAATGATGACATTGGTGATGATGACGACGATGATGATGATGCTGCTGATGATGACGATCGGGTAAACGTCGGTCGGAAGAACTAGGTGAACAAGAACATGAAGTAGGAACGCGGCTAAAGTAGATTGGGCTCAGGCCCTCCCAGAAAATAACAAAAAGCGGCAAAGGTAGATCGTTTCTTGAAGTAGGAAGGCGCCCGAAATAGTGGGATCTGGGAGTGCCCAAATACCTGCTTTCAACGACCAGCGTGTGCCCATTGACGAGGGATGGGAGCCAAGACCGTCCAACCATATGTTGCCCCCATCGTACTTAAAGACCATATCCCAGAAATCATTTCGAGCACCCGGAAAAGTGTCGAAAGAGTGTCCAAAGAATATCGGACGAGTGTCTCCCAGGGCCCGACGCGTGAAAACCCTCGAGTTTCGGTACTTTTTCCTGGCGCTCGAAATTCTTCCTGGTGATCAAGGCTAAAAGTATAGGCTGGAACATCGTAAGTCTGGCCTCACTTTGCACTCGCCGTGCGCACCCACAAAGGCGGCACCCGGGGCCCACCGCGCCGCCACCAGCTTTCCAAGCCGAGTCCAGCCGACCAGGACGGGCGCCCAATGAGGGGGAGGGGGAGGAGGAGGACGAGGAGGACGAGGAGGAGGAGGGGGAGGAGGAGGAGGAAGAGGAGGAGGAGGGGACGACGACGATCATGATTCTCGTCGTTAGTCTCGTCGTCGTCGTGGACGTCCTCGTGGCCGTCGTCCTCGCCGACGCCGTCGCCGTCGCCCCCCTCGTCCTCGTCGTCGTGGCCGTCAGCTTCCCCGTCGCCGTCGTCGAGGCCGCCGTCGTCGTGGCCGTCGCCGCCGTGGCCTTCCTCGTCGTCGTCCTCGCCCTCCTCGTCGTCGCCGACGACGATGATACTAAGATTGATACCTGGACTCGCGCGCGCCCACAGAAGGACACGAGGCCCAGGAGAGCAGCAGAGCCAACGATGCTGATGACCAGATGATGGTGATGATGCGATGATGGCGAGGACGATCGTGTGGAGGAGGGAGACCAGACAAGGGGAGAAAGGACAGGGAATGTTAGCAGGAAGAGGATGCTGAACACGAGAACTGGCGCCCCCAGAATCGAATGGATAAGTCGGATCGGCGATCGAAATAAATCGGATCGGCGGAAATCGGCAGCCGAGTGGGGAAAAGTCGCATCGGCAGGAACCAGCAGATTAGCAGGCCTCAATCGAGAAATCGGAGCCCGAATCGGAATCCAAAGTCGAATCGAATCGGAATCGGAAGCCATCGAAATCGAATCGAATCGGAGGAGTCGAAATGAGCCCTGCGAGGAGGAGAAGAGGAAGATGGCATCGCCCTTCGCGCGCGCACACCCTTCCGCAGTGGCGCGCGCCTGGGTCAAGAGGCGCCAATACCCCTCGGTGTTGAGGCAGTTCGTCCGGAAGCTCTCCAGCTTGGGCGACATCTCCTTGGGCGGAGGGGGAGGAGGAGAGAGGATCGATGAGGGGGACAGAGGGAGTGGGAGGAGCGAGGACATCGAAGAGGACAGGGAGGATAAGGGGGGCGGGAAGAAAGAAAAGCGGAGGGAGGAGGAGGAGGAGGAGGAGGAGGAGGAGGAGGAGGAGGAGGAGGAGGAGGAGGAGGAGGAGGAGGAGGAGGGGGTAGGCTGATGAGGAGGATGAGGCTAAGAGGTTGGGCCGCAGGGGAGGGAGGATGACCACAACAAACCCAAGATGAATCAACGATACTGATGACTTGAGTAGGGCTGGGGGTCAGGTCTGCAGAACACGCCAAACGGACGTCAAGGGGCGCAACTAACCTGTTCGGTCAAACTGAAAAGGATGCACCACACCCGGCGTCAAGCCGAAACCTTGGACATAAGCGAATTGCTGGAGGTTGCACGCCTTCGTCGGCTTAACCGGCGAGGCACTTGACCACCTTGATGCCCCTTTCCTGGTCCTGCAGAGGAAGGCACTCTCTGACCCTCAACCCTATTCAACTGATGACGCTCACCAGCCCCAAGTCCCCTCCTCATGAGCCCCCACACTACCCTCGGTCGAAAGAAGTAGGTAAGCTCGAAGCAGGAAGGCGTTAGAGATATGTTGGGTTCCGTCCGCCCCCCAAGGAGGACGCAAATGGTGAAGCCACTCGATTTTCGAAGTAGGAAGGCGCTTAAATCAGGTCGGGCCTGTCCCCCTACAGGGGGATTTTGGACGAAAAATAAAACATAGTCAAAAAATATCCAAAACATGTTCAAAATAGTCAAACAATCTTCCCCAGCCCATGTTTTACTATTTCTGATCTTCCTCCTGCAGAGGGACAGGACCGACTTAACGCTTAAGGTAGATTGGAATCTGGGAATCCCAAAATCGGGGGTGCGCAAACATGGATTAGCGATCCATGGATTTAGCGCGCGGTCGCCAAATCCATGGATAGGGGGAGGTGCCCTCCCCAAAATGCGGCCGGTGTCGCCTCGCTCGGTGGCGGAAATCCGCGATTTCCCATGGAAACGGGACCCGTCGCTAATCCACGCCCCCCTTGATCCACGTTTGCGATCGCCTGACAAAAGTACCTGCTCTCCACGACCGATGGGTTCCCTGTTCACGGCGAGAGGGGTGCCCCCCTTGAAGGACGGGCGCCCCGGAGTCCTGCAGCTCGGGCGAGAGGCCCCGTCTGGCAAAAGGGGCCGACGTCCACGCTTCCAGCTGTGAGGGCGGCGGCAACTCAAGAAAAGCGCAAACCAACGCCAAAACAAATGTCCTACAAAACGCTAAAACAACGTAGCGTTGATTTTAGCGTTTCCAGCCTGTCAGGAGCCTAGAATAAAAAACGGGTCTTGCGAGAGATGGCGTAGCGACCTTGCGCAGAGGCTTACGCGGGCCGCCGGTGCGGCACGCTGCGTTGGAGGCGAAGGCGCTCACGTGCGAGCTTGCGCGGGCAGCTTGCGCGCCAATGTCGGCGCAGACGACGCCGTTTTTTTGCGTCGATCATATGGTCAGAGAATTCAGTAACCGTCTAACGCCCCATTTTCAAAACAACTGGCCTCGAGACTTGCACAATGTATCAAATACCGTCTGCTCATACATCCTACGGACGTGTCAAACGATAGCCCCGCTTGAAGAATGAGCGCGCCTCATTCCGTGTAGCTGGTATACATGTTCACACATATGTGGCTACAAGTGCTAAGGAAGTCTCGAACGAACAGTATCTAGGTTGAAGAAGAAAAACCATCCACCCTGCAAGTGGTCGCGGAGTCCACGCGAGCACGATATTTTGCAAACGACCACCTTCCCAAACGAGAACCCATTGCTGGAAACAACGATACCTCCACCCGTGTAACAATATGATAACGACCCCCCCCTCAGCAAGTGTAGCAGCTGCCAAATGTTAAGACGACTGTGCACGGCACTACGGCGAACACCACATTCAACACACAACCCTCATCCATCCGTGCATCTCCTGTATTAAACGAGTGTACGCGGCGCTATGGCGAGAACCACGATATAACAATAATCCCGGTCATCCATGTAACATGGCCAAATGTTGAACGAATGTGCGCGGCACTAAGGCTAGAACCACATGGCAAAATTACTCGCCGCTGTGTCCGTGTAGGTGCTGTAAATTTCACTTCAAGGTCATCGGGAAAGTGTCAGGCGAAACGTGCGACCCGTCCTCCAGACACCGCGATATCAAGATGCAGGCTGGCCGAGAGACATGATCTATCCGCCACCGTGCCCTTGAGGCCCCCACGTCCCTCGTAGGGCCTCGGGTCCTCCGTCCCCAATCCTGAGGAGTATTTGCAGAGCTTCCCCGACACAGACAACTCCTCAGAAGGCGCGAGGGCTTCTGAGAAGCCTCGCCGCCTGCTGAGAATGCCATCTCCTTCTTACTTCCCCCCCCTCGCTCGCCGCCAAAACACTCGTTTCCGTTAGCGGCGAGGCGGCGAACTCCGCTCTAGCGAGAAGCTAGAAAAGGACACGGACTAGCGAATTGGCCGGTGGGCAGAGAGGGGGAGGGGGGACGGCCGAGAGGAAAAAAGGACGCTCTTACGTCGAAGACTTCAACGATGAGCAGCCAGGGGGGCAGCAGCAGCCAGGCGGGCAGGGCCAGAGCGCGGTGGGCGGCCGTGGCAAACCACGGTGGCAAGGGTGGCGGGAGGGCGGCTGCCAGCAGCGGGAGCAGGCGGGCGGGCGCAGTGGGACACCACCAACGGCAGAAGTACCGCGGAGCGCCGAGGAGTGGGCACAGCACTGAGCCGTGCGGAGGCAGGAGCAACGCAGCCAGATGGCTGGGAGTGACAGGGGTACACATCGGTCGGAAGAAGTAGGTAGACACATGAAGTAGGAAGGCGTTGGAAATCGATTGGGTTTCCGCACGCCTCCTGAAGAGGAAGGAAGAGGGAAAACCACTCGACTCTTGAAGTAGGAAGGCGCTGAAAGTAGATTGGAATCTGGGAATCCAAAAATACCTACTTTCAACGACCGATGGGTATTGCGGCGTGACCGCCCGAGGGGCTCGCCGCCGAACACACACAACCACAGGTGGGCCTTCCCTGCTCTGCGGTGGAGGTACGGCAGGCTCTTGCCGTGACGTCTTCGGCATTGACTACCTACCAGACCACCCCAACCCAACCCGAAGACCCGAATTTCGGGTTGGGGGGGGTAAGGGTTCCATATGTGTTTTTTCGATGTTTCCCGCCCCCCCCCCCACTGGAAATCGAGGGTAAATCTGAGCCTTCGGGTTGGGTTGGGGTGGTTTGGTGGGTGGTGAGGCATTGGTCTCTGACGTCACGAGGGCCGCTCTAACCTTGAACGGTCGGCGGTGTCCGCCAGCGCAGGTCGCTCGAGAACGGCCACTTCGCGCGGCACTGGCCTCGTTTGTGCGTGAACGCTCGCGCTGGGGCCGCCGCCGCGTCGACACGGCACGGACCCACCGCCGCCGAGACTCACCATCCAGGGTGGTCGTCGCGCCGTCTGGGGGGCCCTCGCGAAGGGCAGCGCCCTTTCGGGGGCGGCCAAGAGGGGGGTGTCCAAGAGGGGGGGGGCGCAACTCATGGCCGGCGGCATGTGCGCGGCCTAGGGGGGGGGGGGCCAGGGACGTATTGAAACAAGAAGAGGCGCCATCAAATCTGGGGAAATATCATGGCCCTCGCCATGATATACATCCCCCCTTAGTCATCACCCCCCTTTTTGCCGCCCCCGAGCCCTTGGCGGGCGCTGCGCCCCCTGGAGGATCCCCGGAAAGCACCGCCGCCGCGGAGCAGCACCCGTCGCGTGCGGGCGGGGCGGGGCCCCGCGGAGAGCGCGGGCGCGGGGCCCCTGCGCGCGTGGTCGAAGGAGCGGTGCCGAGAGAGGGCCGCCGACGGCGCAGAGCAGAAAAGTCATCATCATAATATAGAAGGCAGACGAACTTACCTCGCTTTTGACCGCCCTCGCCTCCAAAAGATATCAAACGATACCAAACTACAGTCGGACTCGATTGGACAGGACACGCGGGAGGACACAAGACCCTTCCGAGGGCCACATTGCCATAGGAATGCAGGAGGCACGGGTCGCGAGACACAGGACACAGAGGTACCCTTGATTTGGCAGGGTCGACCTACTACTCCAGGCCGACTGTACCTCGCTTTTGACCACCCTCACTTCCGAAATACATCAAACGATACCAGGCTATGGCCTGCACTGGTCAGGCCGCTCGACGAGGAGGCGCGTGGCATGACCTGGTGTTGCCTGGAAGCGAAAGCGGGGTAGGCAGCTCGCGCTCTGATGATAAGCATCCCGACAAGCGAAGCCGTTCCGTGGGCGCGCCCAAAGGAAGGAAACGAACAGGGCAGGGCTGTTCAGTAAACAGCCAGGGCCGTTCAGCAAACACCAATGATCGGTGTCGGGGTGTTTTTTCCTCCCTTGACCGGTGGCGCAGAGCAGGAGAGGACATGAGCGACGAACAGAAAGGCGTCTCACGCACGTTGACGCGGCGACTTTACGCGGTGGCTTGCGCGGGCCGCCAGCGCTGATGGGCCTGTTTTCCACCACCACCATAAGTTGGAGGGGGAGGGGGTCCTCCTCCTCCTTCTCCTCCTCCTCCTCCTCCTCCTCCTCTTCTTCGTCCTCCTCCTCCTCCTCCTCCTCATCCTCCTCCTCCTTCCCCCCTCCAACTTATGGTGGTGGTGGTGGTGGAAAACAGGCCCGTCAAGCGCGGCACGCCTCATCGGAAACGAGGGTGCCTACGCGCTTACGCGCCAGTGTCGGCGAGGACGACCCCGTTCTTCTGCGTCGCCCACCAGGGGGTCGGACGGAGAAGCGGCGGCACCACGCATCGGGACGGCTGCGGCGCGCCTGCCACCACGTCTCCATCGTGTCGTGCTTGATGTCTTTCCAGTAGTCCTGGCGGCCACCCAGCAGCATAACTGCACTCGATCCAGTCCCGAGCACTCAAAGGGGGACAATGACACACAAATGAATACACACACAGATCCCAGGATTCCCCGTAGTGCCCCATGTTTTCTGGGGTTTCATCTTCCCCCCACTTCCCATTTATTTTGAAACATATGTTCACATATTTTCCAATATGTTCACCTCTCTTCCCATACTTTCCCATATTTTCCCATATTTCCAATTCGTGTTTGTGTGTGTTTTCCCCTCCTGGGCAATGCTCCGGGGTGCCTTGACAGTGCGGCGCAGATGCGCCGGCATGCTGCCACTACGACTGCATGCGAAGGCCCACGCGCGCACCGACTGCTGCTCCTTCTTCCCACGTCTAGATAGACGAGCGCGTTCCACTACTCTGAAGGGGCCCTGGGACACACAAATAAATAGACACAAATAACAGGATTCCCAATTTTTTCATATATTTTCTGGGTTTTTATCTTCCCCCCCACTTCCCATAGTTTCCCATGTTTTCTGGGGAATCGACGATTCATTGTGTCAGTGTTTTTTCCCTCTTGAGATCATTGCTGCTCCTTCTTCCCACGTCTAGATAGACGAGCGCGTTCCACTTCTCGCAAATTAACTTCTCGCAAATGGCCTGGATCCCCCGCGGAGGATCTACAGTCAACCCGTATAGTAAGGATGCGCGATAAGGATGGAAGGGCCCTGGACGCCCACCTCGAAGCTTTTCGAGCGGGGCGCGGCCAACTAAAGTGGCCAAGGATGGACCGAGGAGGCAAGGATGCACGGGTACCCTTGGGAAGGTTGCCCATCCTTATTATGCGGGATGACTGTACTCGCAAATGGCCTGGATCCGCCGCGGGGGATCTACGATAAATTACATCGAAGCGGACATGTGTGTTTTCGGGCGTTTGCGAGTGGGCACTTTGCGAGTAGTGGAACGCGCTCGGTGAGTCCAGAGGCCTCCTGAATGGGGTCCGAGTAGATGGGGCCGGGGGATCGCGCCGCATCGCCGATGCATCGCCGATGCGTCGGCGACGTGGGCGATGCATCCGCGACGTCGGCGTGGGGAACATTGGGCTTCGCATCGAGCCGCATCGGCGATGCGGCGCGATCCTCTGACCCCCTCTACTCCGACCCCATCTAGGAGGCCTAGATGATCATTGCAGCACCTTCTGCCCGTGCCCAACGCGTCTTCTGCTGCAACGACCGCGCTCCTGCAATGGGCCGCTCTTATCAAATCCGCCGGCCACTGCTTGCCGGGGGTGAAATGGCGCGTGGGACAATTGACTGCCCCTCTCCCCTTTCCCCAGGGTTATGTTGCTCCCATCGTACTTAAGGGCCGCATCCCAGAAATAATTTCGAGCACCCGGAAAATTGTCGAAAGAGTATCGAGGCAGTGTCGAAACAGTGTCGGGCGAGTGTCTCCCAGGGCCCGACACGTGAAAACCCC